GAAAAGCCTTTAGTCCTTGTTTGATACGGTATCGTTGAATAGTTGACAGGCTAACGGCTTCCCCACGTTTCTCGAAAATCTCCTTTGGAACTCGCCTGCTCCACCTTCTTCCATTGCTTCTCGATAGGCATTCGCTCGAATACGATCTATCACACGTTGTTCTTCGTCATCTCCAACGACTCCAACCATTTTATTAGACAATAAATACGTGAAATCCTATATAATAATAGAACAATCAACGACACAAGTTGAGATAAAGAAGAGCAGGAGGAAGAGAGAAGCCCAACGCACACGTGTTTTATGCGGCAAAAAGAGAAAATATCTCTACGAAAAGAAGAGGAACGAAAATAACAGCAGAAAAGAAAATGAAACAGAATGAAAAAAAATAGTGCATACTTATACGTCTAAAATTTGGATTGACTATCTGCATCTATTGAATTATTAACTATAGTCCTAGATCCAGTTTTTTACGGGCTTTCATTTGGTATAAAATTCATTAGGTACCTGCTTTAAAATCATGTCGTTACCCTCCTGGAAAAAGGTTATGCAACACCCTGTACACATTATGTAAAAAAAAGGATGAAATGAAAACAAGAAGGACTTCTTAAAACTTTCTAAGGACGGAATGTATCCGATATTAAATAGACTTTGTCCTATTTCTCTCATTTCGAACTTTGAAAAATGGTCTGAAAGAGTTGTCCACAATATAATTTTGAGATGGTGTAAGTGCATGGGTATCTATGCAGACGAGCAATGCGGTTTTACGCCTGAACGAAGACTGCAAAAACCTGATCTGAGATGCCATTTCTCGTGTAATAAACGTTTTTCTGGTGCTTCTCAAGGTTCGGTATTAGCCGCTACACTATTTTGTCTTCATGTTTATTTTCTTCTTTCTGTTTTTCTAAATTTGATGTGTCATCTCTTTGCGAAAGATTTGGCTATAATCATATCAGGTGCACTTGAAAGTCGTTTCAGCACAAATAGAACTAGAAAGACAAGCAGAATTAGCTATGCGTATTTTGGCAAAATATGCCGATGGTAAGTTGCTTCCGGTAAACGTTCAAAAAACCAAATCACTTCTTGTTCATACCGTGGCATTACCACATTTTCCAGTTGTTGAGTATAAAAATAAAATAATTAATTTTGTTAAACTTTTAAATATTTAACTGTCAAAATAACAATTAAATTAGGTTGGAGACAGTATATTCCTCATCGGCTGAAAACAGGTCGGAGTATATATAACGCGCTGTTCCACCAAATTCCAAAAGAAGTTGGTACCTTTCTATGGGCATGCGCAGGAATAATAAGTGATTAAATAGATTATCTATAAGAACCTGACACACTAAAATTGATGTAATCGAATTTTCCTCAAGATATCATTTAGGAATACCCTACCTCACAGTGGGCTCCTAAGCGGAAATTTGGCCAAAACTGCCATCATTCGATTCATCGAATAATTTGCCTTCTTGGATTGTCGCTGATGAGACTGGTGGTTACAGTGTGTTTGATATAAACTTACAATTATATGAAAAATATAGATGAGCAGAGTGTAAAAAGATAATCCGTAATCCTGTTCAATTACCTTGTGGAGATAGAATTTGTGAAAGTTGCAGGTATGTAGTTTGAAAGGATTGATGTTTTATGGCTATTAAGGGATCCAACGTCATTTTCAGTTGTTTTATCACGTCAAAGATCGTTAAAAACAAAAATGATGTAATAACAAAACGTCTTTATCAGGCTGATCAATGTTTGACGTCAAATAAAGCCGAAAATTTTGGCACATAACAATTTGTACAGGGTACAATGCAAAGGATACAGGTATTTTTGCAATCTGAGTAATGCAGACTTTGCTGTGTCATGGCTAAAACTGACATACTCATATTTACTGGCGTAGAGTGTTTCTTGGAAATGCCCTTTATGCGATGACGAGTTGCACACTGCTCCTAAAGTAGATAAAAACTCTTATCACAATATTTTTTTCTCAGATAATTTTTGTTGAAGTTGTTACTCGATCGAGGATTCAAACAAGAAATCGCTCAGTTGCAAGTGGTGTGTATTGAAAAGTTAAATAATTGTCAATGGCTTGGATCACTGGAAAACTATCAGGTATGAAGTTTTAGATATTTCCAATAATCAGTTATTGGAAAACTATTTTCTTTTGAAGAAACATTAGAATATACAGCATACTACTATCCATTTGAAAATACTACGCGGCTTGTTGACGTCTTTTTCTTCGAGCTTTTTAAGTTTTTAAAAAACGTTTTTGTTCGATTTCGAAAGTTTTGAACACATGATTAAATGCAGCTTTTTATTCTAAGAACCCGTTTGAAACTCGTTTTTCAAAAAAGTTCATTTTTCATCCCAGAAACCGGATTTTGAACTTTTCAGAAACCGGATTTTTAATGTTTTAACCAAAAACATTTTTTAAAACAAATTTCTAAAAATATGCTTTTGTAGAGAATTCAGTTCTCTACAAAACGGCGTATTTGTTTTTGAGTTTACTTGCTATGTACAATTTGTACATAGTTGTACAGTTTCCGACTTACTGTCTAGTTTTTGAGCTCTTATTTTGATACAGCAACTTGAGTTTTGCGCAGATCGATCAAATATACAAAAAACACAAGAATATGAAAATCAAAACTTTACCACCGTGTTAAGTGCCTCAAATATACTTGACAAAAAAGTGCGTAACGCCGTGACGTTTTTATTTTGCATCTTTCTCCCTAGCGAAAAGCGCTAGAAGAAATTTGTTTTTACCATCGGATAGCCCGTCATGGGAATTTTTTCGTAACGCCGTGACGCGACACTAAAATCCTTCTCAAAGCCCAATGCAACATCCAAAAACCTTCGTTTTCACAGCATAAGTGGAGCATGGTAAACTGCGTCGATTGACGTTTGAACGAACTTTCTAGCTACTTTAGTTTCCGAGATAGCCGAAGTTTAGGGCGTCAGAAACGTAACGCCGTGACGTTTGGACAAGCCGTATGCAGTCCACTGTTATTCGAATAACACGAGAACGAAAAGAGGTAACGAGCTACGGTTTTCACTGTTGGAAATTTTTCCAGTATAACTATCTTCGTGTAATGAAAGTTAAGCTTTATAGAAATACTCGTCTTCAAGTTCTTCATAATTCATCAAGACCCACTTGCACTGAAAAAATATTATGATATTGCGTTCAACTGTTCTTTAGAATTGCGAGAAAGCTAGCGCCTTAATCGTTGTTTGAGTCTGAATTAAGGGTACTCCCATCCTCTTTTTTGCAAAAAACTTTTCATTTTAAGCTGAATATACTCTAATGTAGACAAAGTCTGGGCTATAAAATGAGACCACTCTCAGCGCTCCACGACCTTTCTTGAAAAGTTATGAAGTTTTTCCTTCAATACCTAGAACATCTCAGTTTTTAGTTCCGCACATTTTTCTCTTTCAATACATTCAAAATTCTTTCTTATAGACACATAACAAGGATGGCTTTCAGCAAAGGAAACATGTTTGATTGACATGCTTCGTGTTATTATTTAATATGTTTGAACTTTTTTCTTTTGATATCAGTAGCGTTATCAATCTCGTAGCTTAAAGAATTATTATAACTGTTGATAAACGTATCTGGGAAGAAGAAGGAAGAATACACCGCCTTGTGGCTACCGTTATCGATGTAGGGAGCTGCCTAAAGGCAATAGCCCGATATGTTCTCTGCAGTTGACAAGCTCCTGAAATGGTCACCCACCTCGTTACTAGTCATCAACCACAGCTCTGACCAGAAGGGTGGTCTGACGCATAGTTCTTTCGTCCAATTACCTGAGTTCCTCATACACACCTAACCAAGCACGTACCAGCTTTCCGGAACGCCACCAGGACTAGCCAAAGAAGCTATATTGTACGTCAAAACGTAGTGAGTATGCCGTCAGACGGGTGATCCGAGGCACTAAGACATAAGTAACTTGCCCAAGGCTATCACATGATTTTGCTAGTGTCGAGGTTAGAACACAGTACGTTTGAAGTACGTGACGAACAACATAACTATCAAGCCATACTGCCTAAACATATCTTATGGCTGAATCAGAAAAATTTTAAGATGATTGATAAAAATAGAAGTTGAACAGAGAAAAATGAAAAGCGAAATAACAACAACTTCTGTTTCACAAGAAATTGAAAATTTTGTTCGGGAGACGGGCATGCAATGTAACCTTATTTTCGAAAAATCAAATATCTATCCAGTGCGCAGTAACTTAAAAAAGAGAAATAAACCATATTCATCAAAAAAGAATCTAAAAGATTACCGGACTTGAGATGAACTCGGTACTCGGACTTGCTCCTTAATGTTAAAGACTCGGACTCACGCATGCCTGGTCGATCCAGAAAGAGTTTTCAAAATAAGACTCAGCAAACAACTGTTAAACAAATATAAATGTCTTCTTGCTGCGAATGCGAAGAAGTGATAGTGAGCGCAGGTGAAGAAACTCCTTTTGTGAATGTTTACTGCCTTAGATTATTTCTCAGAGAGGTCTTTTCTTTCTTCTTTGCATCGATAAGGTCTGTTTGTGATTGTAATTTGTTATTCGTTTTACTCATTGTTTCAGATATCATTCCAGCAGGGTGCGAGAATGATCAATCTTTTCCTTACCTAGACGTTACATTCATTTAAGTTTTCCTTTTTTCTAACAGCCTAGACACATTCGTGTTCAAATAAAAAACCTGTTGATTGATTGAGTTTAGCTACGACAAAGAAGGTTAATATGATGATTTTCGTGCAAATAAGAGACGAAAGAAGAAAACAAAATTTGAAACGATAAATTATGAAAAAGAATTTGAAAATTTAAATCATCCACTTCATGTTAATATGCTAAGCCATAGAGATTTATAAAGGCACCACTTTCCATTGAAATTATAAGAAGAATAAAACTGGGATTTTCGAGAATAATAAAAATTTAGTACGCGATGCGTGAGCGACAGAGCTAAATGGTGTATAAATAACTAGTTCGTGTCAAAACCGTGATGATTAGTTAAGCTTTATTAGTGGTAAAAATAGCCCACACTAGGACGCCTAATGATGTAAACATAAATAACCGATTTAATATCGTCCGACAATAATAGAGAGCTGATGATATAATGATAATAACAGTTAACAAGAACAGAATTCGAAAATTTGCTATAAAATAACGTCGAAATTCTTTGAGCAGTTGTGGAAAGTGATGCAAACATTCTTCTTGTTCCGTTTGAAATTCGGTATTTATTTGTTGGGTCAATTCAGCTTCATTCTTAACAGAATGTTCTTTCAAGTATGCTTCATATTTTCTCATGTTTGTTGTTGGTTGACATCGTATCAATGCTGCTACGAAGTCATCGTAATGTAGTAAACGTACCGGTGTTAGTCGATCTTCAGGAATATCTTTTAGACGCATTTGAACTGCTCCTGTGATGTCCGGTTTACACGGCATATATCTGCCATCGGCAGATGTTAAAAAATGTGTTGCCTTCATTAATTCACGAACAGGATTCTGTGCCGCTAAATCAACAACCGTTTGTATGTCGCTACCACTATAAAGGTCCGTTGCTTCGGCTAATTTCAATATCTCAAGTTCAGACATATCAATGTCAAAGTTGCCATGTTTTAAGTAATATTTTATCAACTCAGCACGCTCATTTATGTCCGGTAAATCACAAAATAGGTGATATTTGAATCGTCTAAGTAACGAATCATCCAGTTGATCTTTCGTGTTTGTTGCACAGATCAGTGCCGAATCAGCTGTCATATTTTTCGAAAAATCATCAATACTAATAAGAAATTGAGTTTTTAGGCTGCGATCGTGTTCACGCTCATCTGTTGTTCGTTTTCTCATAAATGCATCAATTTCATCAATAAATATGATTGTTTTCTCATGTTTAGCTTTGTCAAAGACATCTTTTACGAAACTTTCAGATTCACCAACATATTTCATTTTCACGTTGCCCGGATCCAGTGACACGAATGCACCACCGTGGGCATCAGCAACAGCTTTAGCCATTAAAGTTTTACCTGAAAAGAAAACAAGATCCTTTTGCACATCAAATTATATTGATCCCAAAATCAATTCAGTTGTTAAATACGGGCCAGGTCTGGAATAAGCTTCTACAAATATAATTCATAAGTGTTCACGTACCGGCTGCAGTGGTGTGTAGTATCACTTTCATCCATTTCATAACGGTCGCGACTTCATCGAGCATCTTTACCTCAGACCAAAACATGGTAAAAAAGAAGTTATGCTGAAAATATGTCTATCGGATTCTATACACACCTATGGAACATTTTTCACTGTTTCGAATGAAAGTAGGTGCTTTTTCCGGTCACAAGTTTGGCGCTCTGTCTGATAAATGCAAACAGAAAAAAACATACCTGTTCCCGGTGGTCCCCAAAACAAAATGCATGGTGGTTGCTTTTTGCAATCTACAGTTTTTATGCCTTTGAAATACGTTGGAAATCTCCGTGGAAGGAAAAACGCGTATTCCAGGGCTAGTTTTGCTTCTGTTTGTCCGACAACATTTTTGTCCCATTCAATTGTCAGTTGATATTGTCTTTTTCTTCTGGCTGCTTCAACGTCTGTATTTCGGCAATAGCCACCTGAATTACCATACAGTTTATTCCCCTTACCCATATTTGTTGAGACGGCAGCAACAAGAGCCAATAAAGAATGAGAGTGTTTCTTTTTTCTGAAAGTGACAGTTGTATGTGCAGTTTATTTTTTGAGTAGTTCAATTTATATGCTCACCATATACAAAGAAACAAGAAAATAACGTCAGTTCTCTTTTTCCTTCTTCTCTGTCTCATTACACAATATACTATCTTTGTTTTCTTAACATCTTGGAATTTTCCCATACACAGCACACTCACACCCGTCGAATAGGAAGAATTCAAGAACACTAAAAACAAGCAACAAAAGAATAATTCTTGTTGTTCGACAGTGTTACGTTGCTAAGTCACCAGAAAAATCGACAAATTCTTTTTGTAATGAATATATTTCTTATGTAGAAGAAAAAAGAGATGAATAACGCTCAACGTTTTGAATAAGAAAAGGTATTTTGGAGTGGGCATCTGATACACGTCTGACACGCCAGATTTTGAGGACTGTTCCTGTAATGGTCATGCGGAAGATCACCTAGCCGAATTTGGAAATTTCATGAGACCGAAGTTTTCTGCTAAATAAATCGGTGTTTCTCCAGAAAAACTTCGTGTCTTTTTTTCAAGCAATCGGTGTGTTTTTTTCAACCAAATCTATTTTTAAATAGATTTGTGATGGGTATAATTGGAATCAGAACTTCTTTGTTGACATATTTGTTGAGATGGCAGCAACAAGAGCCAGTAAAGAATGAGAGTGTTGCTTTTTTCTGAAAGTGACAGTTGTATGTGCAGTTTATTTTTTGAGTAGTTCAATTTATATGCTCACCATATACAAAGAAACAAGAAAATAACGTCAGTTCTCTTTTTCCTTCTTCTCTGTCTCATTACACAATATACTATCTTTGTTTTCTTAACATCTTGGAATTTTCCCATACACACAGCACATTCACACCCGTCGAATAGGAAGAATTCAAGAGCACTAAAAACAAGCAACAAAAGAATAATTCTTGTTGTTCGACCAGGGCTGCCAAATCTCCCGATCTGGCCAGGGAACTCCTGGTTTTTAGACTTTTCTCCTGGTAAAAAAATCTCCTGGATCCAGGAGCTGGTTTTTGCGATTTTCTACTGGTTTCGTCACTTTGAGTTTTAGTGACATCTTGGTTCATCACTTGAATTAATAAGATCAAGAAAAAGAAAAAGAGAACTATCATGCTGATGGACGCAAAAAATCAATAAGAAAACACGTTGTTTCTGCTGGTGGTGTGTAAAACTAAGAAAGATTACCAATTTCATAAATAAATTCTATGGCAAGAACTTGTTTCATTGTTAATTAAAAAAGTACCCACTATGTATTGCACTATGTATTGCATGTTTTCATTGCAAGAAGATGAGATTAGTGAAGTGTCAAATTCATTAGAAGAAAATCTTTTGCCACAATCTTTACCAAAACCGACAAAAAACTGCTGATTCTCTTTCATTACAAAATCATTCAAAAACCGACAATTGCTCTATCATCATCTACCACAGTAACTAAACGCTGCATGTCAAAATTCAAAAAAGAATGGTTAACGATAAAGAATGGTTAATTTATATCTTTAGTAATACGAAAGAGTTTTTTGTTGTGGAACCAGTCTGTTTTGAATCGGATCGGAAACTTCAAAACTTGGATTGGTTGCGGTACACTACGTATTCAACATTGAAGGATCTTTTGAGACCTCAAGTTTTCAGACCGTTTTCATTCAAATTTCACTCATTCCATCTGTCTTAGAGTTCTTAGCACATTTACTTGATAGCTGGTAGTTTGTCTGGATTCTTATTAATTTCAGATTAGTATGGCCTTGCGCCGATAGCCCAAAGTGAGAATTATACTCTCAGAACAACATAAATATCGATTACTAGTTAAAGAATCACTCTTAATTAGATCGGAAGCGCCAGTTCTAAATGGAACAGATCGATCAGTTCCTCTTTATGTTTTTCCCGACGGTGT